CAAGGCCAGCACTCTGGGAAGCTGACGCACGACGATTATAAATTTGAGCCCAGCCAACGTAACTCAGCAACTTAGTGAGATCCTATCTCAAAATAAAAAAACTTAAAAAAAAAATGGGTTGGGGATTTAGTTTAGGAAGAGGACCCTTGGGTTCAATCTCCAGTACTAAAAAGCAAGTCCAGGGGCTCCCTCTTGCTACAAACAGGTGATGTAGGCACAGCGACACAGGTGAAGGCTTGGCAGACCCCCAATCTGCAAGAGGACAAGGACCCAGGTGCCTTCTACACCACATCGCTGTCCACGCTGGGCCCAGTCACGCGGGCAATTTCCCTGAGGTAAGCAAAGCCCAATGTTTTACGGATGTGGGCAGAGATCTGAGTTCTTTTATTTTTTTCTTAAATGAAGAATTCAGTCAGTAAACAGAAACTGCTCTCCTGATGTGAGAGATCAAGATTTCCATCCCTAGCCCTCCTTGGGTAGGGGCAGAGCTCCTGGGATTCAGTGGTTGGCTTGGGCCCATTTCTGAAGAAGGTGAAATGAATTCTGCAGTGGAAGCTCCGAGCTGCTGACAATTGGCAGGCAGCGATAAGGAGCTGGAGAGCTGTCGCTGCTGCATCGGCATCCATCTCCTTGTGGCCCTGAGGAAAGTCACACTGTGTCGCTGGCCGGGCTCCGCTCCTGGACCCAAAGCCATTGCAGAGGAATATCAGTAGATACCATTTGTTGGCTGTCATTCCCAGACTCCAGTCCAACTTGCTGTGGCCAGATTTTAAATTACATTTGGGTCCTGTGATACTGAACATTGCTGTTGTCACCAGCTTTAAGGGACAATGACAGGGAGTCACCCTATCCACTATCAGCAACAAGAAACTGCTCTCCAGATGGAGAAGGAGGCACAGGGAGGAGCAAACTTTGCAGATCTCGTTCTTTTAAAATCACCCCTCAGCCTATTCTTTTTTTTTTTTTTTTTTTTTCGTAACCAGGGATTGAACTCAGGCCCTTGCGCTTGCCAGGGAAGTGCTTATTCTACTAAGCCATCTCCCCAGTCCCCCTATTCTATTCTTTTCACCTGCTGTGGACACCCCTTGCAGATGCAGGCAGCTGCGAGTTGTCTTTGCAGTTTTTCTAAACCCACAAGTAGAGGACAGGGTTCACTGTGCCCAGTTGCAAACATCTCCAGGGGGATCTGGGGGTCCCTACACAGCTCTCCAGGCACAGGGCCCTGGTAGTTGAGGATGTGAGCTCAGCCTGGCACTCTGGCACTGTCATTGGGCAAGTCACGGGCCCACTCGTGTGGCTAAGCTGCCGCTGGCTGGCTGTTTCTCCTCAGTTAAGACTGTTACACAAACTGAAAGGCAGTGAAGTACCTCTTCACTACCTGCTTCCTCTGCTTCTGGATGGTCTCGGCCCTGCTAGCTGATCTACTCAGGGTAGAAGCAAGTAGTCACACTCCCCGGAGTGTGCCAGGGTTCACTGATTTTTTCCCAGTCCACTCAGGGGATGGGGCTGGCACAGCATGTGGTACCAGGGATCAAACTTCAGTCCCTGTGCTTACCTAAGCTTGCCTAAGCAGGCGCTTTAGACTGCTGAGCTACCTCATTGGCCCAAAAGCGTCTTTTTGAGCTGAGTACGTAGCTCAGTGATACAGCTCAGTGATACTTGCCTAGTGTGGATAAGGCCCTGAATTTGAGCCCCAGAATACACACACACACACACACACACACAAAATTAGTGTCACCTTCATCCAGGTAGGCAATCTTCCTGGGTAGGCCTGCTGCAGGTATTCAGGACATAAATGTAGGCCTAATTATGTGCAGAAATTCAACAAGTCCAGGTTTAAAAAACAAAAAACAAAACAAAACAAACAAACAGCCCTGGCCTCCTGCTAGTACTTCTCAAGGAAAATGCTTGGAAAGGGTCCCCTTAAGTCTGGATCTACCAAAGTTGGAAAGGCTCCCTAATTCTTCTTCAAGGGAGCATGAGCTAAGCTTAGATAGCTGTTCAGGGCCAACTGTGTGCATCAGAGACTGGCTTGCTCACTCCTCATTTTATAGATAACAAACAGAGGCTTCCCGAAGATGAACCCAGTCCATGGCAGAGGCAGACCCAAGTCCAGGTGCTCTGCCTCCAGAGCTCAAGTATGCTTTCCCCTACAAGTGAGAAATAGAATCTCAGAGCTGAAAGAATCCTGCAAGAGCATGGTGAACTCCCCTCCTAGGGAAAGCGGGGCTAGACAGGTGGCTCCAGAGCCCAGTGGTGCCAAACTGGGGCTGGGATCCAGGCTCCTATCAGCACTGTTAGGATGCGTGTCCTGGGTATTACACTTGACAAGCTGGTACAGCAATACAAAGGAACCAGCTCGCATGTTGGAATGCCTCCTGCGCACCAGAAACACGCCAGGCCTTTACCTGTATAATGCCATACCAGCCAATGCCCTGCCTTTTGAGAGGCAAGGAAAGGAGGCTCAAAGAGGCTAGCAGGTTAGGAAGGGCAGATTTGGGTTTGTATACAGATTTTCCCAACTTTTTCCACCCACCACATTCTACCTTTAGATACGGAGTCACTCTATGAACTTGAAGTATGCGGCCACACTGTGGTTTTGCTGTGTATGCAGAGAATTTGCAGTACCTTGCGGGGCAAGACTCCACCAGCGCAGTCCCCTCACCATGTCATTTCCTTCCGGGATGTTTGTGGTGCCTTCAGCCACTGTGCCACAAAATCAAGGCAGGAGGAGTTGTCTGGGCTAATGGGAAACTAAAACCAGCTCAAACTGTAATGGAGTAAAAATTTGAAGGTGGTCTTTGTCTAGGACCATGACCTGTGCAGGGAAAGTCCTTTGGTTGCAGAAGAGTCGACCCTGAGAGGAGCCGAACCATTTTTCCTGGGGTTGCTCCTCACTGTGGGAGCCTCTGGCCCACCAGCACAGGATGTGGCTCTTCAACAGCTCCCTGCCCAGCCTCTGTGGCCCTTTTGTGGCCCATCTGGGTGGAGGCCAGGTTGCAGGTGCCTTGCCTCTCAGACCTCCCAGCAGGGTTGAGCTTCTGGGTGGTAATTTCAGTGAGTCTGTGTGCCAGTACAGCTCAGATTTGCCCTCTGCTACCTGGTAGCCTTGGGAACCAGCCATTCTACGAGGGGCTTATGCGGGGCCTGCTGTACCATTTCTGGTCCTGTAGGTGGGTACAGGGCCCCTCAGACCTAGCCCTATTCCCCACCTGGCATGAGTTGGCAGGACCTGCTCCAGGGCCTGGTCTTTCTCTGCTGGGCAGAAGGTGAGTTTGGCTGCCAGCAGGAGGGAGGGCTGCTGTCCTGCTTAGGAGGTGCCGCTGTGTGGAGCCACACTTCAGATGGGGCGGGAGCATGACTCAGGGTTAATAGAAGGTACCAGAGGGCTCCCACAGTGACTCAGGGCTAACAGAAGAGCTGTGAGAGATCCTAGGCCAAGCTGCATTGAGGTCCATCCTAGCATGGACAGTTTTCCTCTGTAAACCACAGGAGCAATTCACAATAGCTCCTAGGTAAACCAGGCAATCTGCTGCAAAATGGAGTCTTTGCCACAGATAGGCTCTGAAGGGGTGATGCTGAGGACTGAAGAACCATTTGTGCAGTGTGAGGCCCAGGAGCCCTTGAACACACTGTTCGTGGATGATCCACTTTCACAGGGCCTTGGCCTTCAAGAACCGCACTGCCCTCCCTGAAAAGCCTGGTCTTGGAAAGGCTCACAATCACAAAGGCTAGAGAGGTAACGAGGAGGCCAGAACTGCTTCTTCTACCCTCAACTCTGGCAGCCACCTCAGCCGTAGCAGCAGCGGCCAGCAGTGGCTTGTGGCCGGCTCTTCCCTTGCGTCAGGACCTCCTACCACTTAGCAGGGGGAATTGAGAAGGCCAATTTAATTGAATTGACTGCCACTTGCAAAGCTGTGGTTACTCCTCCAGGAGTCTATTTAAAGTTTCTGAGCTACACAGAGATAACGAAATGAAAAAAAGCACAGTGTAAGGCCAAGGATGATTATCAAATTGCTTTGGGAACCTTCAATGTGAAAAAGATACAAAGGAAAGATTGAAAGGTATTAGTCTCTAAGTCTTACTGAGATCAGAAGACTAAAATCTTTGTTTAAAACAAGGCTTCAGGGACAAAACTTTAGAAAATATACACACATATCGCTACCAACTCAAATATGTGAGTTCCTATTTTAGGTTATATTAACATTGTTAACCGAGCTTCAATTCCTATGGCGCAGCAAGAGTCTTACATACTTGTAAGATTTTGTTTTTTAATGCATGAGCTTTAAACTCATTCTCTTACTTTAAATAGATGTATATTAACTCTCCGTTTAGTCCGCAGGACCTCCTAGTTTAGTATAACAGCTCAGCAAAATAAGAGTGGATACAAACTCTGTAATTTACTCACAGGCATAAATGGATATATAAATGTAAAAATGTGCACAATATTTTATGCCATACTTAGCTTCATTGTGGCCTAATGTTTATAATATGTAAATAATGGCTTCCTTCTAAAGCAAAGAACTTTCAATATACAGATTCATCAGAAAGTCCATTTTCGTTAATATAAACAGAAATAAAAAGCAAAAAGTATTCTTTTGTAATAAATACCCAGTGACAAAGGTTACTACCAAAGGAATTAAAAATGACAGAAGTCAACAGAAAACTTGCAGTATCATACTTCCACTTTAATATGAAGATATTTTTATCAAAGGAAAAGACTCAAGAAATTCTTTGATAAAAATAATCTCACGCTATCTTTGAAGCAGTTGCATTTATTTTACTACCCACTGTGTTCCTTATCAGAGGGCCAGGGGTAAGAAGTTTCCTAGTTCTGGTTAGGAATGAATCTGATAGATCAGAAGACCCAATTGAAGTTGGACATAATAAGTATTAAAGTATTACATGACATTAATCCTGCCATTCCATTACACTCTCCATCTCTGTGCACCGACTAATTATTCTGTAGCCAGTGTTCAGGAGAAAATAGAAACACTCACCGTGGGCTGGAGTAATCGCTTTATTGCATCAACAAGGCTGGCTCTGTACTGGTCCAGAAACAGGCTGACGTTGAGGAGAGAGCAGAAGCCAGATTAAACCGGGTTTTCAAGTCTAACGCCGAGTAATGATGATAGATGCGAGGCTAATTACATACATGTACACAACTCTACAAAAGAGAAGCATTTCCTTCCATTCAAGTGTCTCACGAGGGGAAAAATTGTGAAGGAGAAGATATTGTAGTCAGTGGTATCTGACTACAGGCCAGTCACCAGATTCACACGCAACTGGGTTGTGTATTAATTAAGGTTCAGACAGTTTCTAACCTGCCGTGTCATCCCGTGGAGGTGAAGCATCTCCCATAGCCCCTCATTTGAGCCTCGTCTCCCACAGGCCTGGGGCCTCCACTCAACCAGGGTGCAGGAAGGTGGAACTCAAACCACAGCCCAGACATCAGGGGCAATAGCTATTAGTGACGAGGGACAGAGAACAGGGGGCTCATTTTCAACCATAACTTAGGACTGACTAGCCCCCAAACAGAGTTGAGCCAGTCTGTCCCAGAGACCATGGCATTTTTTTTTTTTTTTTTTTGGTGGAACCAGGGATTGAACTCAGGCCCTTGCGCTTGCCAGGGAAGCGCTTATTCTACTGAGCCATCTCCCTGGCCCCAAGACCATGGTATTATGGAGGTTCCAACTTATTTTCTTCCTGTTCTCCATGATTTTTCAGTTTTCTACACTGGTCTTTTGACTATTTGTTTTGTTTTGCTTTTTGGTACCAGTAATTGGATTGGCCTCAGGCTTGCCAGGCAGCGCTGTGTCACTGAGCTACATCCCCAGCTCTTTCTGCTGTCGCCCTCACTCCTTTGTTGGGTGGGTCTGAGCCTGTCTTTACCAGGCTTTATCCTGGAAACATGGAACAGGTTTTCTTTACCTGAACATGCACACCCAGACTTGCCTTCGGGTTACTCAGTAGGAGGGGGCAAGTTGGTTGATATAGCCAGGCCTAGTGCAGTAGCTCGAATGTGTCCTGCCCTCCCAATTCATGTGCTGGGAACTCACTCCCTGATTCACTGGGCTTGGGAGGTGGGAAACTCGGTGCCTTTTTGACCCTTCTGCCATCTGCCATGTGGGAATAGAGTTTCTCCCTCCTGGCAGATTCAGCATCCAAGGTACCAGCCTGAAGGAGAGACCACCCCCAGCAGACACTGCGGCTCCAGGCACCCTGAGCTTGGAATTCTCAAGACTCCAGAGCTGTGAGCAACACACTTCTGCTCCTGCTAGCTTATATTCTAGGAGCACAAAAAGGACTAAGACCCCTGGGATATTCATGAAAGCTAAGGAAAGTTTTCTGTGGGTGGGGCTGCAGTGTGGTGAAAGCGTCCAGAACCAAAAGCCTACAGAGCAGAGCGCCGTGAGGCTCGGTGCATCTGGGGAAGGTGCCCTAGCCTGACGCAAGCTGCTGGAACCTGCCAATGACATTCCCTGGTGGGATCACTTTTTTTTTTTTTTCCCTGAACTCCATATTGGGATTCATGATCTGATAACATGAAGTTTGGAGATCAGAAAAGGTAGCTGAAACTTTGAACTCCAAACAGTCCTGGAACATCCAGGATGTCTGGTTATCAAAATTAAGTGATTCCATCTGTGTATACAACATGTAAAGGCAGCAGAGGGACAAGAGAGGAAAGCACTGCGCATGTCATGACAAAGGGTACAATATAAGAGGGAGGCAAGCTGCATACCAGAACATGCAGACCAAGTACAAATGTTAATGCCACAAAAGTCTTAACAGAACTGCTCGAAGTGGAATACTAGGTACCAGTTACTGTCTAAGTGTTTTCATGGATTAACCCATTCATTCCCATGAGGTAGCTGTTGCTGGTGATTCTGTTCACTTTTTTTTTTCTTTTGTGGTATCAGGGATTGAACTCAGGACCTTGCGCTTGCCAGGACTTATACCGCTGCGCTATCTCCCGGCCCTCTGTTCACACTTTATAGTCACACAGCTCCTAACTGGTGGGTCTGGGACTCACACCCATGCCATGTGGCATCAGGGTCTGTGCTCTGGACAACCTCTCCACCTAATGCCAACTGCTCCCAGGCATGCAGCACTGCACGGCAGAGGGGCAGGGGTGCGTTAGGTGAGCAGTGGCCAGCAGTGTGCTGCTGTCTTCCCTGAGGGAGCCACTGCATGGAGCCGTGCCTCAGCTGGGGAGCGGGACCCAGGGTTAGCAGAGCTCTGGCCCTGACCTTTCTGCTGCTCGATCCTGGCCCAGTCATTTCATGTAAGGCCTCCGTTTCTTTGTCAAGAAAAGCCCACCTATGTGGCTATTCTGGGCATCAAATTAATAACATCCATTAGCTCACAAATATTGTGGATCATTTATAGAGTTTGGTTAGACATTGGGTTAAGTATGAGCAGACAGCGTCCCTCCTCAAGAGCTTCCATTCTGAATCCAAGTACAGCTCCCAAGTTCGTGCGCGCTGCCGGCAGCTCATCACAGCCCTCAAATGGAGGCTGTGCAGACTGAGCACTGCATAGGTCCGAAAACTGGCTGTGTGCACCTTTGGTGGAAACGCTGGGCACGGATCGCACTTAGGAAGGGTGCTGGCAGGCAGCTTCCCTCCTGCTTGGATTCTCTCATTAGAGAACGAGGAGTGAGGAGGGCAGTTTAGGAGAGGCGCCCCAGAAGGCAGTGCCTGGATTTCCTTGGCCAGCACAGGGCCGTGCAGGTTCTCGTGGAAGAAGCATTTGTGTGCCGAGAAGAGGGTCCTGCAGGTGAGCTGGACACCACGTGCAGGGAGGAGGGGGCTTTGTCCCAAGTCATCCCAGCAGTCACGACGCCTGGGAAATTTTCTTGTCTTTAATAATAACTACATCCTTATTTCTCAGAGTAAAGAATAGGATTAATGCAAATGCTACAAAAACTTGTATCATAGAAAGCAGTGATTAACGGCCCCTTTAAGGTCGATGAGAACGGAATTAAAAAAAAAAATTTTTTTTTCAGTAATGGAGATTGAACTCGGGACCTTGTGCTTCCCAGACAAGCACTTAGGCCTCTGAGCTATCTCCCAGGCACTGAGAAGAGATTTAAATCACAACCAAGTCTTTAAAAAGTCTGCTCTTCAGATACCAGATGTTATTTTTAGTGAGGTAATAATATCTTTAGTTCTAATAATTAAACGTTTCGACTTTTTTTTTTTTTTTAAAGAAGACTGTCACTGAGCCAGGTAGGCTGATGTATGCTGGCAATCCTAGCACTCTGGGAGGCTGAGGCAGGAGGATGACAATTTTGAGCCCAGCCTGGACAACTTAGTGACTTAGTGAGACCCTATCTCTAAAACAGGGACTTAGTGAGACCTTAGCTCAAAACAAAAAAAGTTCCACGTGACGACCCTGGGTTCAACTGCTAGTGCCACAAAAACTTTCTCAGTGTAAGAAAATAGCTTTGTCAATTACTGAAGCCTAGAAGATACCTGGCAGTTTGGGATATGCAGAAGCTAAGCAGAGGAGCTAAGCGAAGGACCGCTCAGTTTACCTCTGTGCATCCTAAGAGCTAGTTAGATGACTGGAAAGCGACGGACAGCACCTCCTCAGCCAGCGTAAGGCGCTCCCTGGAAAGCAGGGCTGAATGTTGGTGATGCTGCCGAAGAGGCTGACATCGCAGCGAGCAGTTTAACACAAGACACATCCCCAGCATAGCGCGAAGGCAACAGCACCGATTCCATTCTTCCAAATCACATTTCCCAAAAGCAATTCTTGTAGTTCTCTAACAGATCTTTATTCCAAGCAAGCTCACTTTTCTACTTAGTGCTGATACAGAATTTATAACGCTTTGTAGGCTACATCATATGAGCAATTTCAGTGTGTTTTAGTGGGAGTGATATGTAATCTCCTGAAAATTCACCCCTTAAATAAGTCCTAATGGCTCGGAGAACAGCAGTAGCTTAAGTGGATCTATTTAAAAAGGCTGAGTAGGTCAGTGATGGGGATGGAGATACCATTGCAACTCTCCCTTCTGCTATTGATCAAAATATGCTGACAGTCCAGTTTGCCCATTAACACACACACATACACGCACACACACACACACACACACACACCCCTCTATGTCATGGCTGTGGCAGCAACACTTGCTTTGTTCTGTGGATCTGAATCACAGATTTTCTGACAGGGGAAAGGTGTTGGGCCATTTTCATCTGCTCCCTTAGATCAGAACTGTATGCAGAAACAGAGCATCTCTCATTACTCTCATGGGGAAACTTATTAGTGGAGGGCTTAAGGAGACATTTCTCTCTGTGACTATCTGCAGAACGGGAGGACCCCCCCCCCAGCGATTTTCATGGTGAAATGTGCTAAGTTAAACTCACTGCTTTAGATTTAACTTGAAGCAGGGGCCGGGGAGATGGCTCAGTGGAATAAGCGCTTCCCTGGCAAGCTCAAGGGCCCGAGTTCAATCCCCGTTCTTCCAAAAAAAAAAAAAAAACAAACAACCAAAAAAAACTATTTGGGCTGGGGTGATGGCTCAGTAGAATAAGTGCTTCCATGGCAAGCGCAACGGCCTCAGTTCAATCCCCATTTCCGAAAAAAAAAAAAAAAAAGCAAAAAAAAAATAATAATAATAATTTGAAGCAGAGGGAAAGCCTCTTTCAATACTTATCAACTGATTTTTATGGGGGCTCAGAGTGACGTCATACTCTCCTTTGGCTTTACGTCTTTAGTTGGCAGATCTAAATGGGAAATCCAAATGTTTCCTCAGAGATGGAGTCTTCCAGGTGTGAGGTGAAAGGGCTGTCCACATTTGGGCTAGACATCTTTTCAGCTGAAAGGAGCTATGTGTTATGATTTAGAACTGTCATGGCTGCAGCCTCTGGAAGACAAGGAACTTCTAGAACCAATGGTATTTCCACTTAGTGGTATTTCCATTTAAACACGAAACCTTTCTCATCACCTAGGAAAAAGTGAAAAGGATGGAAGAAGAAACAACCCACAGTATGAGGGGAGTGCAAAGATACGGAAAGAGCCAGCCGGTCACGTGGACAGGTCCGCATTGTTCCTGCTTCTTCCCACAGTCTCAGGCTGTGGCCACATAGAGGTGTGACTGTCCCTTATCCCAGCTCTCTGGGTCATCAGGCTGTGGGTGGCACTGCATGCTTTCTAACGTACAGAGGACTTTTTGAGAATTCAAACATATGGAGTCATTTCTACCTCTGCAGAGCTACAGTAAACTAGACGGCAATCAAACACTGAAAGTGTTCATTGGATCTAAAAAATATCCACCTTCTAGACCCTTAGCTTATGTTACGATTGAATAGGAGTCTGGAAAGGCACTTTAAAAATTATCAATCACCCCCTATTCTAAATGCAGCAAGGACGGGCCAGCATGGACCACATCCCAACAGAAAGGAACCGTACATTACGCTTGGCAGTAAGGAAGCCAGGGGAGGAACTTAACAGGCAGGTTCTTTTCCCCGACACATGTGGTTAAATATTCTAATATTTTGATGTTTGTCAATAGCGTCATTTTGCAGGTGTGACTGTACCTTAATTTTTTCTTCTGTTTATTTCAAAGGTGACATTTTACAAGTTATTTAGGAACTATTGAACCATGAAACTATTTTTCATTGTCAAAAATGCTGAATGGAGAAATAATGACTAGCTTTCACAGTTTGCCTTTTTATTTTATAATCTAGTTGAACTACTAAATTTGAAAGTAAGAGACTGTCTCTTCTAGGAAATAAGTTATTTCCCCTACTGCCCACAAGTTTATGAATGTTTGAATGTAAATATATGAATGTATGAATGATTTAAGGACATAAACAGATCGCCACTTGTAATCATGCGCATTCCACTTGAACCACAGTGTGGGTTTCGAGTAGGTTTGTGAATAGAGCCTGTTTTCATGTAAATGGGACCAAGCAGCACCACTGGTTAGCTGTTCAGGGAATCAGACAGTGCCACCCTTGCTGGAAAGGCCTCAGGAAGAACTTCATCCATGTACCTAATACTTGAACTCTGACTCTTGCTTCGTATTCTGTGGCCAATCCAGATGTCACCGACTGACAATGACCACATGACGGTGCGAGGCTTCCTACTTATGAGTGGCGCTGCTTTCTAGCACTGGGCATTTCAGGTTTCCTCTTGGAGGCGGCATCTGAACGAGCTTTTCTTCTCTGCTCTGTGACTTTTCTAAAACGGCCTGCCTACCGCTAGAAGCAGGATCCAGGCCGCAGACAGTGGCGACTCCTATGGAGAAATATCAAACCCACAGGACGTAAAGGGCTCTGAATCTTGTGCTTCCTTGAAAAGCATCCCTGGACTTCTACGTTCCTATGATGCTCACCAATTTCTCTGAATAGGAAGAGAGACCATTATCAAAGCATTTCTTTTGGAAATAATATCAGCATCGCAGTCAGAGTAGCTTAATGTTTCATATTTACAAACGGGAAATTACAAACAGGCCGACCTTCTGGCACTTATAACACCAGGAGGAAAAAAAATCTTAACAACAATTCATGCATAGAAAAGCCATTTATAAAATGAAGCTTGGTATATTTAGATCATTTGGATCCATAAAGTCCCACATAGCTATCGTGTGTGTGTGTGTGTGTGTGTGTGTGTGTGTGTACATGGATAATAGTGCATTATGTTATGTATTTGTAATGAAATACACATTGTCAGCTTTAACTGACAATGTGACCCTGTTGCCAGCTAGGGAAAGAAGACTATTTTTCAAACATGTTGTGTGGCTATTTTTAACCTGAGAACATTAATCAGAGAAGAGCTTAAATCTTACTTCCTCTGCTTGTCTCTCTGCTACAAATAGGATGACATGGTGTGAGTGTCCGTAACAGCACGTACAACAAAGCCAGGCTGTTCTGATATTTGTGTGAAGGGCAAATTCAGCCGTAAATCTCTTGGCCAGACCTGCATCTCTTCACATCATCAGAGTCCATCGGGGTGTGACCCTCCTCTAAACCTTCAAGAAGCCTCTGCCCCTTCCTCCGTGAGGCTGCTCTCTGATCTGACTTCCTTGCTTAATCTGATCTAATCCGGCCAGCATTATCTTCATCTGTGCAATGAGACCTGGAAGATCCTTTCTCATATTTGGTGAGGAGAGGCATTTACTAAATTACTTGCTGAAGTCATATGGCAAAGCTTTAGCTCCTTAGTTTTGATTAGAGGAAGGGTGTGAAGTCAAGGCATATTATCAGTGATGGGCTAGAAATCCAGGTTGCTCCCACTCGGGGATGCAAAGAGACTAGAAGAAATGAAAAAAATGAACAAAACCCCCCTAAAAAGCAAAAACACCCATGAAAAACTAGAAAATCTCAGCTAAAATAGAAAAAAATATGTATTATTCCTTGAGAAGTAGTTTTCAAAAAAAATCTAAAGCAAACCTAATCCAATTGACTTTCGCAGGAAAGTGATCTTTTGAAAAATTATTCTAATAATAATAATTATTATTATTATATTAAAAAACCTATTTCTTAAAAAATGTTAATCTACTCTCCTCTATGAACAGATATTCTCTGGGTTCTGGATGTTACGATTGGGCCTACCAATATATTCAAACTTCAGCAGAAGCTGGGCTTGCAGTTTTGCATCTACAAGGCCATCATAATCATCACGATGAACTACAAATAAGGTTTTACGGTTAACACAAATAATGCTTGCAAATTATCCGTGTTTACCATATGTTGAAATAATTACTACTCAAGTTACAAAAACCACATAAGAATAGTTGAAATAATTATTAAGGTCTGATGCATATTTATCCTGTAACTTAGGATTAGACTTTCATTAATAAATAAGTAGATTGGGCTAAAAGAGAATGTCTAATGTAAATGATTTTTAAAAAGCAGGCGTCTGACAGAGATCTGAATGTTATTATTTGCATAAGAATAAAATGTAATTTTATACTTTTGTCTTATGTATAATTAAATGTCATAATTGGATACGCTGAAACTATTAGATAGCACATACACATTTTAAGAAAGGCTGTTTCCGCAAAGATATTCCACAGATATGTTTATTTGTTGGAGAGGATACAAATATATACACAAATGTAGACACACATATTCTCTTATATCAATAGTCAGATCTCTCCTAAGAAGTAAGCTAATTGAGCTGTTTGTGTTGATAAACTCCTTTTTCTCCACACTATTCCACTCCGAGCCATAATTATTTGCAATTTGCCTAAGTCGTCCATTTACTGATACGTCAAGCATGAAACAGAGGCAATTCCAGAAAATGGAAATGCTTCTCAAAATCAATCTTTGGGAAATAATGTGGTAGAAGTTACTGTGTGATAGGAGACTACCTGATAACTGTCACATGGAGATGAATATTAATTTGTTGAGGTTAAGGTGGCTTTGTGCTTCATTTGCTGACTTTGCCTAGCCGTCAGCAAGGCAGCGCAGCCCAATTACCCCAGCAAAGCCATTCTTTCTACCAGGAGTTTTAGGATATTTTATGTACTTACCAGTCAGCACACATGACAATGTCAAAATGTCCTTCCAGTTGAGAGACATCTGTCTCATTATCCCATCGTAAAATGCTTGAGGAGAAAAAAGATTTTAAAAATTATACTTAGGATTTTTTTTTTTAACTTTTGATTCTGAGCTATTAACATTTTTGTGGCACTTGAAATGATTTAAAAGGTATATACAAATTATTTCCAAAAGGATATAATAAAAAACTAGGATGTAAGTGTCTTCTACATTTTTAGAGTTCAGTTCTAGAAAAGGAAGAAAGCTCTACCTACATACAATAGTTAAGCCTTTGCTAGTTTTTGTAGACAAGCTAGAGAGAAGTATCTTTACTACCATCAGTGGAATAATTCCAGACCCTTATAAGCAATGAAGCACACTGAAATCAAAGTATTCTCTATCTGACTGGAATACAAATTCATAAAATAAGCCAAGTGGAACTCGGTGTGTATCTACCTGTGTGTTGTGTCAGGCATATTTTCAGTACACACGCTGCCAAAGTGGGCAGCAGGTACATTGTTTATTGATGAAACACGCTAGCTGGCAAGATGGGAGAGAAAAAGAGCACCTTCCATTTGATGCTCCGGGGGTGGGGATTTTAAAATTCCCCCATACTGCCCCTTAGGCTCTCCAAAGGAGGATCAGTTTTTAAATCTCACATTAGTCATAATAATTAATAACATGTATTTTAAAATTCTGGTTGTGTTTATAGAGCCAATTCACACTCCTCTCAGCTGACCACAGCAGTGACAAGCATTGTGCCATATTACAGGATTTTAATGGTCTTTTTTCTACCATATTAAAACTGTCATCGGGCTGGTGAGATGGCTCAGTGGTCTAAAGCACCTACTTAGAACAAGCTTAGCAAAGCACAGGGACCGCGGTTCAATCCCCCAGCACCACATGCCAGCCAGCCCCGCCCCCTGGTGGGCTGAGCTGCCCCCCCCAAATTAAAAAAAAAATTAAAAAAAAACCTGTCATCTGCAGTGCTATTTTTTAAAGTAAAATTCCATTACTATTTCCTATTTTGATTCTTTAGGGATAAAGAAGTCCCTTATTTTTGGTGGGCTCTTTCTTCTTTTTACATCTCTGCTGCACAAAAAGTCATGTGTTCGAATACAGAAAAATGCATTAGTGTAGCCAACCCCAAAGTTCTTTTCGTGTACATGAATAGACATCAGTGCTGGTGAATTTAAGGCAGAAAAGATGGAACAGGTCATCAAGCAGAGCCCCTTCCAGGCTGAGCGTGTGCTGGCCACTCCCGTGTGCGAGTCATGCTTACTGCGCACCTACCTATGTGGCTCAGGCTCCTACTGGGCCATAGGCCATGCTCATGCAGAGGCAGCCTGGCAAACCCCGTGGCCATGTCTACCCTGACTCCAGTGCTGTGAGGCCTGTGTTGTGTGAGCAGGCTAGGGAGGGCTTCCCAAAGTGTGCACAGGTCCTGCAACATAAGGACGCTTTATGAATTAATGCTAGCATCACTATACTTGCCAAGACCCACTGGAAAGCCAGGAAACTAGAAAATCCCTGGAAAATGAACTTTGTTTTGGATTCTTCAGAAACTCCATGTACCAGGGGGAGTAGGGAACAAGCAGCCAGCCTTTTGGACGTGCCAAGGCTTCTGCTGTCTGGCGACTTGTGCTCAGGGCAGAGTGAGGCTGCAAGGCTCGTCAGCAAAGGCCAGAAAGCCCCCTAGAGCTCCTAGGAAGCCTACAGCTGTGGATCACCGCAGGAGCTGGGACAAGAGATCTCTAAGCAACTGACGTGCCCAGCATGGCCGCATGACCACAATTCATTCCCTGGAGGCACTGCCCTCGGTTTCGCAAGGCTTAAGGCCACGCTGTCCCTATAACTGGAAGCAGATGACATAGAAAGCAAGGAGTGTGATCAGGACTCTGCTTTAGCATGAGAGACATGTAGAGGTTTAAATCTCGATTTCCTCTTCTCAGGAGCTGTGTGAATCGGGGCAGCTCCTCAGCCTCTCTGAGCTTGCCGACTGACTGCAAGATTTAAGGAGCTGATCCTTGCAGGGCTGCCTTGCCAGCCACCTTGTCCTCCTCTAGATAGCCATAAGGGGCCCCACTCTCAGGGTCATACTTTAGCTGTGGCCTCCTTGCACCCAATTTGCTGTAATACTTTTTCAAATTTCAATAGCAAATCAATAGAAAAACGAGGTTTAAAAAACAGTAACAGAAGCCCAAAGTATAAATAAAGAGCAAAAAAGAAGATAGATCATAGGATATTGGGAGACAAATCTTTTGTGAATAGGAAAGGGATCAAGAGATGGGGGGGGGGAGAAAAAGAAATGAAAATTTCCCAACTTCCCACATGTGTGATGTACATGTACCAGTCGCCCACACTATATGCTACAGACATGCACTGATAAAATGTACACGCAAGACAGCTAATACAATTGCACCACTACTGCACTTTCTATCCATTCTACTGTTCTTTCTATTATACTTTCTATTAGTTCATTGAAAAGAACAGTGAGTATTTATACTGCTTGAACAATTTTGCATTTCATAGAGGGTCATTTTGTTTTGAAATTCTGTTATCATTTTTATTTTTAAAATCCTCTTTAAAACAAAACTCTTTTAGAAAAGCATAGCAGAGGAATTCCAAATACAAGCACATGAGGCATATGCTTGCGTGCTGCAGCAGGGCTTGCAGGCCCTGGCTTTGAGTCTTAGAACTCGCCCCAGGGCAGATGACATTCAGTTTGCGGCCTGGCCCTGGCCACAGCCCACTCACTGAGTGGCACTGCTCCGCACCTTGTCCTTCCCGATACTCACAACCTCCCCCGCCTCGGTCCATCCCCTCCCCTCTTCCACAGATCCCTCCCTCTGAAGCTTCTGCAACACAGCCATTCCTCAGTCTCGCTGGTCTCCAGCCCACTGATGCTACCAACAGGCCCCTCAATGTCCTCCTCCCTAGTGCTCATCTTCCTTCCTTCCCTAGCTAAACTCCATTTTAATTAATGCCCTGCATGCACCCTCACCTCTTTTGCCTCTCTTCTGCTTCCTTGTTTTTGTGGCATGCAGCTTCTCACCTGGTCCCTGGTCCATATCTGCACATGTGCCTTTGAATGTGGTGGACAAGTGAACAGCACCCTAATTGGCTGGCTTTAAACAACAACGAACCTCAAGAAGGCTCTTAAGGTGCCCCACTGTTATGCTTAAGTTACCTTTGTCCATCTGCTCCTCTGCCCTCCTAAGTCAATATTTTGTACCTTCTCTCTTTCCAACAGGCTAACGCTACCTCGTCCTTGCTTTCAGCTGATGGCCTTGCTTCCCATGTTGCTGTTGACATCGCAACAGTCAGGGCCAGTGAGACAGCTCCGTGGTCTACAGCCCCTGCTTAGGCAAGCTTAGGCAAACTTGGGCACGTGCAGGGGACCGTGTACCATTTGCCGCACCAGCCCCGCCCCCAGGGTGGGCTGAGCCGACCCCCCCCCCAAAAAAATTGCAACAATTAGACAGAAGTTGGCTAAATTCTGGCCACCACACTACCATCCTTCCAGCACCTGCACCAACGGCTGTGCCTTCCTGCCTGTTGTCACACTCCTCTCCACAGCCATACCTCCCTCCACACTAGATCATCCCTTCTCGTCTTCTGTGGGACGGACGGGTGCTAGCAATTTCCTTTTTCTTTCCTATGCAGTCTATTCTTTCTCTCTGAATTATTTCCATCCATCTTCCGCCACACAGTCATCTCCTTTCTCATGATGTACCTTCTTTTCATGCTACCTTTTCCCCGTTATCATTTCATCTCTACTTCCTTTGCCACCAAATTCTACTTTCCTCCCATCCTATTTTCACTCTACAGCTTTTGTTTCCTCCATTACCAGAAAAACTGCTCATGTAAAATCACCAAAGATCTCCATATTGTATCAGTTCGTAGTTCTCTTCTGCCTCAATCATGGGCTCCTGATTTCTACAGCCCACTCCTTGCTTTAATCCTTCCACTGGACAACTGAAGACCAAACAGTTGACATCTAAATTCCTGAACCTCTTTTCCCAAATGCACTTAGTCCAGTCCTTCCCATCCTGTGAATGGTTTTTCCACCTTTCCAGTTGCTCAGACCCAAAACCCTGGATACATACCTGACTCTATACCTCATTAAATGTTAGCTCTATCTTTGAAATATATCAAAATGCAACCACTTCTCCCCACTTCCACCGGGTCTAAACTACCATCATTTCTCATCTGAATCACTGCAGGCTCTTCTGTCTCCCTGCTTCCATCTGTTACCATCTCCGCTCAAGATAGCGTCCAGAGTGCTCCTTTTAAAACATACATCAGAGCAGGAGTTTGCTCTTTTTCCCTGTAGGGGTTTCTCCCTCTTACCTCAGTGTAAAAGATCAAGTCTTTACAATGACTTAGAAGACCGCATGTCAATGTGGTGAGCCTTTTGGACCTTTCAGGGATGCAGACAGCTCACCTGCATCACACGTGCCATCGGATCGCCACCACTGCCCCTACAATCAGGTGGTTTATTACTCTGACTTCACCTCCTAGTTCTCTCCCTTGTTCTGTTCAGCGACTGACCTCCTTAGGGTTTCCTGAATCAAATATGTGCACTTCTGTCCTACGGTCTGGGTGTCATCCAACTGCTCTGCCTAAATGCTTTTCTGTCACACAGCCACATGGCTCTTTCTCTCACCTCCTTCAGACCTTTCTGAGAGGTGTCCACCAACCCATCATTTATTTCAAGTCCAGCAGTAGAAACTCCCATCTTTTTTATTTTTCCTTAGGAGCTATTCATTTTTTAACATGTTCTGATTAGTTTGCCAAATTTTATCTCTAGCCCCACTAGCTTATAAGCACCATAGTGTTTAGAGATTCAAAAAATGTGTTTTGTACAATGTTGCATTTCCAATGTCTAGAGCACACAGTTGTGATATGAACAAATTGTGTGTATATATATCTAGCACCATGCCTGGTCTACACAACACATTCAGGAAGGTTGTTCTCTGAATAGGATGTGTAGCTAGCTACATCTGAAGGCAATTAACATGCTTCAGAAAATTTTGCCTCCAGCAAAGATGGAGCAGTGAGTGCT